TAATCTCGAAGGGTTCACTTGTAGATTGATTGTCAGAACGACTCGAAGTCGTTACACCGATTGGCGTAAATTAAGGTGTACATTTTGGGGCTTTAAAAGACCTATTATTAAAATGTTAGATAGTTTACCATAATAAATCCAATTCTTCTCCATTCATCATCCCTGTTAGAGTGTCGATCCCCGACATTTGAATTTTAAAATGATTACATGTACTAACAGAAGGGCAATCACTTGAAAGAGAAACATTTATGGATAAGTAAATGAAAAAGAAGAGCCTGGAAATTTCTCCTTTTTCGTGTCAGAGCTGCATATAAAAAGACAAGTTCAGAGGTTCCAAAAAAGGACTGGAATACGAAATTCAGAACAAGAGCTTCATATTTCTTAAAACAAAAAGTGTTGGCAAAGGACAGTGGGAATTGCATAAAGGCCGATATTCACCCATGAAATTGCCGAGAATAGATATCCCGATGCTCCTGGTATTATAATTGAGGGCGTGAGCACCAACTCGGTCCCATCCCCTTCCTTCGTACACGCTCCCATCCTCTCCAACCAGGAAACTGGACGATGATAATTATTTCACATCTCTTCCGACGCACTGACTCATAACTCTTGGCTTATCGCTATTTGCATAAGAAATACAATTAAGCCTTTCCAACTTCAATTCTTTATTTAAAATATTTTTCTGAGTTCAGTTTATTTTTTGCCTTTCTGTTTTTTTTAAAGATTTTTTTAAAGCAAAAACTCATTATCTTTTTCATTAATGTCTTTGCGAATTTTGAAGTACCTGTCACTGAAGAGTTTTCAGATGCACCGTCCGGTGCTGAATTTGAGGCTCCTCAATGGAAGCGTGCGATGTCAGTTATGTTTTAAATGATAAAACGCATGCCTTCGGAATTTTACGCTGAACAATGGCACGGGCAAATTGGCATCAATGAAGGTTTCCTCCATTCTTCTGGCGTCAAGAAAGTGTTTCTCGTACGGTTTCATTCTATGATCTGGAAGGCTTCTTTTGCTTAGCACCAATACAAGTTTATGTTCTACGGTAAATTGATCATCTCTGGGTGGTTCTTAAGCGTGATTGGAAGGAATCACATATCTCTCTGTATGATGGGTTTTGGCGAGCATTGTGTGAGTAGAATCGTCCAGCACGCTTTTAACGACGCAGGGAATGTGATTTTCGTGCTACTTTCTCGTCTTTCCACTCGATGGGAGGAGCGGATTCACTCTCTACCTGAGTAATAAAATTGGACACATCCGACTCGATTAAAAAGGATTCCCAGAATGGGATAGGGAGTTCGTGCAGATGCGATAATACATTCCTATACGTGTGATGGGAAAATAGCAGATTTTGGGATCGGGGAGTAATTTTTTCTTATTTTTAATTTCGACATCCCGCATTTTCCATAGTAACCGGACGATTCGACTCTACACATGTGCAGCTTTCTGCCTGGGCTGGGGTACCAGATAAGGATTGAACTTTCCAGTTCCCTTCTTGCCCTCACCGATAACGGTTCCTTAGCGGAAGTGAGCGGCTCAAGCGGGACGGAGAAGGGGCGGAAAACCTTGGATACATGATAACGTCAAGGAGCTGTTCCGCTATAAAAGCGAGAGCTTTGGCCTTGACCACTCACTACTTCGCTGATTAAGGTCAAGAAGGGTCGCATGCAATCTCCCTCTCGTTTCTTGCAGTTACCATCTACTAGATGTTATTGTGTAGTTTGATGGGTACGCCTCGACTCGGGATATCGAAACGAGGAAATATGCACCTTCAGCCAATCCACTCGAACTGGGAATTAATCAAATCCTATTACCCATTGCGAATACCGACAGGTAGCTACCGTCACAGGACAAGAAGCTATACATCACGTCCGACAGCGAATAATCATTTCCTGGAAGGGAAGACGACAAGAGAAGCGCGATAGCAATGGAGAGAGAGAATAGAGAGCGATGGGAGCAATTCCCGAGTAATCCTAAAGTTGGGAGTTAATTCGGGAAACGCTCCCCTCATATTCAATATCATTCAAAATTTTCGAGTGTAATGATGTATTTCAATTGACAGATTATTGAGTTTAACACGTTGACGACCAGCCTATTTTAGCTTGTCCGCCGCGTGGGACCACGCGCATTTTTTTTGTCAAAAAATGCGTCCTGAAATCATAATCTTCTGGAACGTTCTCAACAGTTCCAGAGTTCCACAGTTCCATTCATTGAAAAAAAAAATCTGCATCCTGGCATCAGGACGCATTGTCGCCAACGTGTTAAGGAATCCTTTCGTCTCGCGTTCATCTCGTCGATCGTCTTGCCTATATCCGATGTCATCCCATCCCCTCTCGTCCATGTGAAAGTCCTGGATCTCCTTCACGCCCCGGACGCCATCGTCGACGGTGAAGGCCGGCGGCATAGCCGTGTGATGGATCACCACGTAGCGGACGGGAGTGCTCAAGGCGACGTGGGATGCCGGAGGTCGGGCTCCCCATTCCTCGCGTCTTATCATCCTGGGGCTCCCTCCGCTCTCACCAGCTGGAATGGTAGAATGGTTGATGGTAGTTAAGTAACGAAAAAATCCGACTAGACGAATGATGCACTGGAAGCCCAACCCTGCAGGGGTGTGATGCGGTCCTTAAACTCAGTAAATGGGTTTTGAGTGTATAAGGGATATCTCAAAGAGTCTGTGTTCCTCTGTCGCGATTGATTTCATGTCAGCCAGTGTCTGTTACATTAATTCGTTATAAATTAAACAAATTAATATAAAATGAGCCCAGTAAAACATAATGGTTGGAAAACATAGGAATAATGAAGTAAATATATTTGCCTTATATTAGGGGTACCGGAAATTTATGTCTTTTTTTGCAAACCAAATGTAAACGTTATTTATGGTTTGTTTTCTAATGAACTTCATTCATTAATCGAAAGACTAGTCATTTGTAATGAAAAAATTTTATGAAAAAAAACTTTTTCCTTTTTTCAGCATAAATGTCTCCTTACATTCCTAAAGGGGTCTTCGAAAGAGAGAGTTTTTTGTCAAAATTGTTTTTTTTTATTATAAATAACTATTCTTTCGGTTAATATATACGAAATCGTATGTTCCGAGTATCGTGCGGGAAGTAAGGCAACGGACGCCCCCCCCCCCTCCAAAAAAAAAGAATTTGCGGCGTTTATGGAGGATGTTGCGATGACAAAGGGTGCTTTTTCCATTCCCAGGTCAAGATGCAAGGAAAAATTTTAGCTCGGCAGAGATTTTCCCCGTCTCGATCAATCCGCTCCTTAACACTATATTAATGTATGAGCAAAAGCCATTACTCATAAAAGTACAGAAATATATACCACTCATATAACATCTTTCAAAACATGAAACCTCTCTCTCAGTGCAGCCGAAATGGATTAAAATGAAATCCATGTCGTCACTTGTCCCTGTCCCAATCCTCGCCTGTTTTCCTGCACGGATATGGAAGAACAGGGGCATTGACGATGAGGATTAATGCCCCTCGGGGAATAACGTCGAGGAGAAATACCCTCAGCGAACGATCGGGCCTTTCGCATGCGACGAAGACGACTTGAGAACTCCTAAGAGAGGGAAACTATCCCAGAGTTAATCTCAGGGCGGTGAAATGGGAAAAGTTGCTGCAATGCCTCGCGTCATAGGCTTTTCAATCGCATCCGGCCAGGATTTCGAATGAATACCTTATTGGTAAGGAGAGGGAGCTTCTCATCGACGTTCTGAGCTTCAAGTATTTTTAATCTTAAAATCCTGTTTGAAATAAAAATTTTTTCTCAGAAACTAATTATAAAGTGCAATATAAAATTACGTATCAGTGGGTAAGCTCATACCCATGAAGCACTTTTGAGACATGTAGGTCTGCACTCCCTATTTCACTTGCGCCACATTTACGGCCGAATTTTACACGAATTCTCGAAGGGATCGAGTTCAGTCGAGGCGGAAGGACGACGAGCGAACGGATTAATTCTTTTGCAGACGGGAGATGGAAAAAAATAGAGATGGAAGGGTGACCTTCCGACTGACGGACTGCATTCCCCGATGCACGAACAGATGTAAACACATGCTTGGAACGGCAAGAGGGCCCATGCCCTCCTCAGCCACGAGAGACTGATCGTGGTTGCGACTCCGTTCATGGAAAGACGGCAGAAAAAAATAACTTTTTAAAATTACTTTCTGCCTGCCGTATGAGTGGAGGGGATCCTTCCCATGTAGGTGACCAAAGTCAAGGGAAGAAAGGGCGCAGTTTCAGCCGTCGCATGACTTCGCTTTCTGCATGTTTGCCTTCTTCGTGCTAAATGCTTTCTTTCAGCTGTACGCGAAGTGGGAAAACGTGGACCCAGTCGCATGAATTAGGAAATAAAAAGAACTAGCCAACTTGTGGAAAACTTCCACGAACTTTTGGGCAAGATCTCTCGTGTTCATTCGCGGCCCCAAAATTCAGTGACCCTCTAATCGCTATAGGCGCTATAGCAGACCCTATTTCCCAATCTTCACATGTCCCCACGTATAACTCTTGGAGTCCCCTTTCATCCCGCTGAAGGATGATTTTCTCGCGTGGGGGATATCTTCGCCCTCACATTGCCTTAGCCTCTTTCACACGGGATAGCCCTCCCAGATATGAATTTATAAACATAAATGGAGAATGGAGAAGAATTGGATTTATTATGGCTTTGATAGATTGTAAAATTATTATCCAGAAAATTTCGGGGTTTTACATGTGGAATTAAATGCGGTTGGCCACATTGCTGAAGCTCAGCAAGACTGTTAGTTAGATGTTTCACTTGGGAAGCTCTAATAGCGCTCAGACCCTTAATCTTTCCTCGTTGTTCCGTCAGGGGTGCTCCCTCACCAGGCAGCACTTACAGCCGTCCGAAAACTCATCGAATCCGGCGTGAGTCTGGGGAAGATCCAGCCAAATTACTCCTTGGTTGGACACAGGCAGCTGAGGGACACAGAGTGCCCCGGCGACAGGCTCTACGAGACGATAACGACTTGGGACCATTATGACCCTCATCCTACCTGATCCGAATCGTTCAACGGCCATGAAAATTAGTTAAGTCTGACTGAATGCTGCGAGGAGCTTTGTGATTGGCAACAATAAAAGGATCTGACCCTTGTTCAATCTGAATCATTATTTGCCTGTCGTCGAAGCATTAATAACGTGTAGACACTGCCGCACTATATAGAGTGTTTTCCACTTCAGTTAGACAATGTTTCACTCGAATATGACACCGATGCGATGGTTATTCAGAGAGGAGGCGAGGGCGCAGGTGCCCCTGGTGTGGTGAACTGACCACATTTTCTTTTAAAAGCTCACCAAATAACAAAAAGGCAGTTAGGACATCATGATTAGCCGAGCATGCCTCACTCACAAGTAAGTTCTGTGAATTAAAACGTGTTTTCGTAAATAGGTGGGTATGAGAACGGCAAACAACTTTGGGTCAGAAGCTTTAGGTCTCCGATTGCTCTACCACTTTGTGAATGAAGAAATATCATAATCTGAAGAGGGGAAAATTCCCGATTCACAAGTCTTGGTTACACCACATTTCAGAATTGGAGTACCACGGAATCAAATGATGGTAGCATAAGACGTGGCAATAAGTCAATATACATTTATGGACTATTTCTGCAAAAGTATGGATGGATATGGATGCATTCGTTCAATTACTTCGCTGGCATTTAGGCGCAGGGTATGACATTGTTGCGTTTCTGTAAGTTAAATTGGGAAGTCTCCCGTAGACAGCTAACTGCCGCACTTATATTTTTTCTCGGAAAAAGAATTGGCAGGTGGGTAATGGAACACGATTGCAGTCAGGTGGAACATGGGCCAGGTTTATTACAGACTACGGAATGACTACAGGTTTTGAGGGAACTTCAGGGGCTGTCTGAGATGTATAGATCTTCGTCCAGGGATGAAAAATCCAACCGACGTCTTGTCGTCCAATGTCTCCTTACTTCTGGGTCCCGGGGGAACCCAGAGTCTTGTCCTCGCCCAGTTGCTACAACGAAATCTCTGGTAGAATCGTGCTTTACTCAAATGGGTGCCAGCCTCAAGTGAGGAGTCGATTAGCCGTGGAAATTCTGACGCCTGCAGACACCTAGGTCCAGAGGCCTTCCTATCCGTAAGGAAAGGGATCACCGGTGCTACAATCCGGTAGCACTTCCGCTCAAGGTTTGGATCAAACCGAGCCGACCAGTCAATTAACAACTGGGATTCTGCAGCCTGGAGACACCCAGGTCATGAGGGAGTCGTTCGGAGTCGTGGATCCTGTACCGTCGTAGTACGTCCTGGCTCGAGGAGGTCAAACCGAGCAGGTTGTTCGTACGCTGATGTCAACAGAACTCGAGGTTCGTGACCCGCGGATAGATTGGCGGCCGTTTACTCACAAATGGAGCAGCGCCTTCTTAGCCGTTCCACTTCCTTTAGGGGTGGATCCAGGAATGGAATCGGGTCAACCGAGCTCTGGAGGAGTCGTCCAGCCGCAGACTCTTGGCAGGCTCAAAAGCTTAGAGAAAGCTCCTAGCTCGAGCTGCTTGGGTCGTGCAAGCGACTGACCGCCTCTACCGGACTGAAGACGGGGGTTTTTATACCGGAGAGGAGGCCATAAAGTTGGGTCATTCGTGACTTGGAAAGAATTTGTCAACAAGAAAAGCGGGGGAGGGGGGAGGGAAAGGATAAAACATGCCGAGCACACGTGCTGATCACGTGATTGTCCCTTACATTGGCCTCCATATATCCCTATCTAATATATATAGACGATCGTGACTGACTCACTGACTGACTGAATGACTGACGCTAATTCTAACCACGTTCTAGAAGGGTTAGAAATCTGAAACTTGGTACACAAGTACCTTTTGGGATGTAGAGTTCAGAAAAACTTTGACTTTGGAGGTACAGTACATGCCCTGGGGGTACAAATTTTGGGGGGAATTTTCTAGTTGCTAGTTTCACCTTCATGCCAAGGGTAAATCAATTTCTTCAATATCTGGAAGAAGGAGAACAACAATATTATCAGTCATGGTCATATCATAAGAGCGGGGTTTCCTTATGCTTGAGGACTTGAGTAAAACGGAGAGACATGGAAAGCTGAAACTTGGCATGGATGTACCTAACGAGATGATGAGTTCAAGAAAAATGAAACATTTTAGATTCATGCCCACGGGGCATTTTTTTGTGAGCCGACGTTTTGAAGTATTTTTTTGTCACGGCGTATTGAGATAGTGTGAAAAGATGAAACTTGGTACATAACTACCTGTTGGGATGCTACAGAAAACTTCAGACTTTAGAAGTAAATGCCTTGGGGCCACAAATTTCAAAGGGAAAATTTTCCACTAATTTTTTTGCATCAGTTAAACTGATGAACAGAGAAAGCTGAAACTTTCCATGAATGTGACATCTGAAACAAGGAGTTATATAAAAATGTTAAGTCTGGATACTTCCCATGGGGAATTTTTTCGAGGTGTGATGTTTTGAAAAAAAAACTGGTGACGTTCCATGTGACTCATGTTACACATAGAGACTCATGTAGCAGAGTTATCAATGAACTGGAAAAGCAAGCTTTTCCTGTTTAAATTGAGACGTTTATTTATCCCAATTAAAATGAAAACAGAAAGGTCAAGTGTGAACTTATTTAAAATAGGCAAGTGTAAACTAGGCTCAGAACATGCAACGGGTTCTCATTCCACATGAGAATGAAATTAGTATGAACATATGGAAATGAAGGGAACGTTGATGGAATGTCGTCCAAGGTTGAATGTTTAACATACAGTTCGCTGTTCTTTTTTAAGTACATTGGCTGTAATATCATGCAGTATCACCATTTTATGTTTGAGGATGCCATTATAGCCTTATTTCGAATCTTACCTATATAAACTATTCTTATGCATTATTGGGAATGTTCGTAAAGCGAAAATTGAAAATTTAGAGGAATGAGATGCATGATGGTTCCAGTCTAATGCATCGCCTTATCCTGAGTTGCCAGATCAAACGTATATTCTGCGACGTCTCGCAAATGAATGGATTTTCACGTGTAACATAGTCGCCACGATTGCCATTTTAATTTCCAATAATCTGTCATTGCTGCTGGTTTCTTTCAGCTTTAAAGGAATCCCATTCCCCCAAAATAGGACTCGATCTAAAAAAAATTATAAAGGAGCAATTGTTTTTGACTGTGCAACCTTCGTAACCTCAGTCACAAGAGACACGTGTCCCACATTGATGGCTTTCTCTCTCTGCATTTATATTGAGTGTCAGTGAGTAAAAAAAAACACTAATTGCTACTGAAGGGCAGAAATTAAGGAGAGAGAACCTGATGCAAGAAGGGAAGTATTGTTAATGTATGATTAATATATGATAAGAGCAGTGGCGTAGCCAGGATTCCTCCTATGGGGAGGCTTAGTGGAACGGTGGTGGGGCTACTCGGTCCCACCACCGTTCCACTAAGCGAGTCGAGGGAACTCGGCAACAAGGAGTTGCCGAGTTCCCTCGACTAACACGTTCTCGAAGTAGGACCTTAGCAGGATCTACTTCCGGCTCAGCAGTTCTCTCACTAGGATCGAGGAGTAGCGAGACACTCTCTAGCCCATCGTCAAACTTCTTTGCACAGACATCAAACATGAACGGTGTCAATGAGAATGCTTCGGATCGCAGTGATCATCGCCCAATTCGAGACAAGTACACAGCAGTACCTGAACCGTTCGATGGAACAGGTGACTTCTCAATCTGGATCAATCAGTTTGACTTGTGTGCAAACGCCAATAGATGGGATGAGACAAGGAAATAGAAAGTTCTCCCCACGAGATTGTCTGGTAAAGCTTTCATCAAATACATGAAAATAAGCCAGAGTTCGTCTCTAGGATATGAGGAAGTGAAAACAGCTCTGCAGAATGCCCTGCATCCCCCGGAATCGCAAGGTGCCCTAAGAATCGAGTTTCGTCAACGATCCAAAAAGGCCTCAGAAACACTAGACGACTATTTTCAGCAATTGACCTTGTTGTGCTATAGAGCCTATCCGACAATGGCAGAAGAAGCACGAGAATAATTATTGAAGGACCAATTCTTGCAAGGTTTACCTTTTAATTTGAGGGCTAGAGTGCTACAATCTAGGCCTATCGATGCTAGCCAAGCCCTCACTATGGCTAGAGAACAGAGCGCGTGGCTATCTGTGGCCCGCTCTGCCGGTCAACAAGAAGACGTATGTGCTCTTCGTCATCAAATCGACCAACTAACTGCTCAACTCAAGAAGGGTAACAACCCATCTCAGAACCGGCCCTACGTTCGGACAACGACAGCCCCACGAAGATGGACTGATAATGACACACGGCCACCCATGGAGTGTGGACGTGTGGGAAAAAGGGACATCGCTCACGTGAGTGTCATTCTGGGATGAAACCTAGAAAGCCTTATCAGCAAAGGACGAGGGTTCAGGCACGGACCTCTGTACATAAACGGTTTGCGGATTCCGCCCAACCCTTGAGCGCTGAAGCTAACCCATTTCAGCTCTGCACTAGTCGTTCAACTAGAGTTGGAAGTGGTGAGGTTTCACATCAGACCACTTCACAATTGGAGCCGTTAAACTAACAATGGCTGGCGAAGACGGGCATTCACCAGCCAGTATATTTGTAAATAGTGAAATCCCCCTAGCATATCTTGTGAAAGCCCGCATCGATAAGCAAATGATTGAAATGATGATTGATACAGGAGCATCTCTGACCCTCGTCTCCGACGAATGGTTTCATCAGCACAAACGCCCAAACTGGGATTTAAGGCCAGCTTCCTCTTCGCCCAGCGCGGTTGATGGCAGACCAATAGAAACGGTCGGTCACTTCAAGGCTGATCTGTATATTGGCTTCACGGCTATATCTTTGAATATTTGGGTACTAAGAAATATGAAGTACCGGGGAATTTTGGGTCTTGATGTACTACAAGCTACGCAAGCTTCTCTGCAAATCCCTTCACGGATTATGCAGATAGGGTCAGAGCAAATCCCCATGCATCCGGAATATCCCCTCTTTCATGAGGTG